CGCGCGCCCCGTGTGGTAGAAGCTGGTTCGTTTAAAAAGGCTGCTTTGATAAAACAGTAGCATCTACTGTCGGCGACCCGCTCGGCGGGCCCTGCGTCTCTCACGCTCCCGGTCTCTCCTCTCTTCTCTTCGGGCAAGAATTCTAACTTCTGTCATTACCTTTGCGATATGGTGGAAGAGTTGTGAGTCTTCGTTTAGGTGGCTCATCATGTGCTGTGCTAAAAACGACACCTCGTCACCACACATTGGGCAGTGTAGCCGCTGAGGTTCTGATGCCCATACAGCGAAATCAGGCTCCATCGTAACGAATAAATGATCCGAGCAGCACACAAGCATTTTTATACCTTTTGTCGAAATTTCTATCATTATTAAGCAACATATCTCCCATGAAAATCATTACAGTTATGTCCTAGAGTTCCTTTGAAACACAAAGACTTCGTGCGTGGAGAAGAATAAACTTTATCCTATGGAGGACATAGCCTCGCCACCAGCCACCTTACAACCAAAATGTGTGTAATGTATTGTTGTTCTTTAATTTGTGGTGTTGACTTATTATAACATTCATTTCTACTCTCTAATTGTTTCAGATTTTAATTTCATTGATTCAATTTGATTTTAATTCTATATCAACAAGTTTTACATTTAATCAAGTGGTTATACAATGACTAGTTAACTAAAACTTGGAAGTCAATCAGCGTCCCATTTCAGAATCAGTGTCTGGTCTTCAATCCCTCCGATGTTTGAAGTCAGACCCAAACGTAAGTTATGCCTCATGTACTGATTATTTTAAGGTTTTATGAAGGTTGCCTCATTTGAAGAGTTTTTTCTCTATATCAGGTCCTATTTGTTTGAGCTTCAATGTATCATTACCATTAACTATTTTAGTCGCTATTACTAGCATTCTTTTGGTGTATGAAACTTCTGCACAGCAATAAAATACTTGACACTATTCTTACATTCTTTGAAATGTAATCTTATCTAAAAAGGTAAATGTAGGAACTGACCTGGGGATAAGGGTAAGCCAACAATTTACAGCTACAGCATTTCTTAACTTATTGAATTTGTTATATTTATTTAAACTTCAGTTGCAGGCTGGAATTTATAGTTTAAAACAACAAGTTAAAACAAGTTAGTAATATTCTGTAGAATGCCATGACATGCTGTTTGCCGAAAGCCTTGACAAGAATCCTTTTCATTCTACAACAATAAGAGGATCTTAAAGAAATCACGTATGTATGCCAGATATAATTTAAGGAATGGAAACTGTTTGAAGTTTTAACTAAATCAAACTGTCTCAACACTTATTTCAGAAAAACATTTCCTCTTCAATCAACTTGTTTAGCGCATTCAAGATCTCCTGCCATTAATCTTGAGCAGTGTGGAGTTCCACTTCCAAAAGAAGCAAGCAGCTTTGTGAAGTTTAACTTTGGTTCTCAGAATCAATGGCTCAATTCATGCCGGGGATTGGATGATGTTTGAAGTTGAACCCAAAAGTAAGCTAAGCCTCAAAAAGCTGACATTTTAATGAAGATAAGTATACTTACTTAAATGGTGAAGTTGAAGACATATTTGTCCATAGCCATAAATAGATTTGTCCATGGATACATAATAATTTATTCTCTATTAAACAACTTTCTCCTTGGATGTTAATAAAATTGTCCATAGCTTGCAGTGGATTCTCAATTGGATCATTTTTATGCGTTCATTAAAAGGTCCGTTGCAAAAGGAGGTAATCGTTGTATTTTTATGGATAAAAATGTTGGTATTATAGTTGCGTAAGATTCAAAGTAGTGAGAAGATAAATTTATCTACAGTAAAGGATAAATTCATCCTTTGAGGATTGAGGGTGCGGGTGGCCTCTGATTGGTCGGGGCGCTGGCACGCTGGTACGAGTCGTGCGGTGGAGTAGAGGTGAAACTGAGAATCAGCTGATGAGGCTGTTCGCACACCGAAGGCGGTGATCGTGTACGGCGTTGTAAATATTTTGGTATGGGCGGCAGCGTGTGAACAGGCAAAATTCGGCTCTAACACTCGTTTTTGAGTTTTACTCGCGACACGGCAGAGAGGGCATTTCTACAAAAATTGGAAGGTAACAGTGTTTGTCATTGTTATTGTAAGTACAATTATTTGATTTATTTTGCATTTTTCTGTTTTTATTATATCATGCCTGTTGTCACTATGTCCATTTGACTCATATGTAAAGTGAAATGGATTGTTATCATTTTAATTTCTTTGTCTTCATGTTTTTTAAGCAGAATTCAAAGAAATTATCCCTGTTGACCTGCAGAGCTTATACGGGTAGGTCCTGGAGGGTCCCCTGTCTAGAGGGTCCCCCTGAATTTTTTACTATTTTTTATAGTTCTTATTAAAAAAATCGTTTTTAACAATTTAATATTAATAAAATATTAAAATATTGCTTACAACTAGTTTTAAAGGTCAGAGTGGCCTAGGAATTTTTCATATTGGTTCCTAACGTGCTGTAGGGCTCTTGCTCGTAGAAGAAGTGTTTCTTTGCTAGTTGCGATCTGTATAGTTTACATCAAGCTATTAGAATTATATATTCAGTAGAACGTTTTCTGAAGTGTGGAAAATTCGTCGACTTTCAAGTGGGTAAGACATCAAAATGTCAAACAAAAATGTTAATGCGTTCCCTTTGGATACAGCATGTACAGTGTCCAGATGTCCATTGCAAGGTGAATCACTTTTAGTACACAGTCTCAGTCTTTTGAATTTGTGTTGCGTTGCACTGTGTGCTTTTGCCCCGCACTTGATGAACCCAAAAGAAGCGCAGTAGCATTTTTGTTAAACTTTTGAATGTGTTAAGCACTTGTAAGTTCGCGACATTTCAACACTTCCAAACAAATCCTACTGCATAAAGAACTTAGCAACTAATTTTCCTAGCCAAATGTCTACTAGATAGACCGCAACTAACATTTAACACTCATGTTGAGAGCAAGAGCGCAAGAAACAACATCAGGAAGCAGGATGGAAAATTTCTAGACACCTCAGGCCTCGCAAAATTCGCCGCCGGAGCGTAGACGCCAGCGCCGCGGTGGCCGGGAGCCGAACTACCCTGAGTCAGAAGCCTGCGCTGTGTATGCATGGGCGTTTACGGGAATGGCTGTGTGTTTGGGGGAAAGAAGGTGTTTTATGACATTTTGGTGACTTTAATCGAGCAAATATGCCTTTAGTCAGTATTTCTGACGTTATTGATGTGGCTGGGGAATTTAAGAGGCCTTTGGTAGAGGGTGAACGCCTCCTGGAAGCCAATTTACTCGTCACTGTAGGTCGGCTATCGAGTTCTGACAGCAACATCGTCAATGTTTGGGCTCTTTGCTTGAAAACATCCGCATTGACACAACATCCACATACTCTCACTGTAAAATTAAACCTGAAAACAATTTATAGCCGAATAATGAAGATCTCATGTGACTGTAAAGCCGGTACATCGGAGAAGTGCAAGCATTGTGTTGGGCTCCTTATGTACCTCAACAGGTGAATAATTTGACTTTTATTTTTCTGTTTCCAAAATTGTGTGTTAGTGTCATCCTAATTTTTATTCATGAAAAGGATGAACAGTCCTGATGAACTGGAGGATCTGAGCTGTACTGATTTAACGCAGCAGTGGGGCAAGTTGAAAAAGGCAGTACTCACAGAGTATGAAGCTGTTCAAATCACAAAGTACTGCCACTTTGTGACACCACAATCAATTTATGCGAAGGGAATACCACAAGTCTCTGAAGATCTTGCTGATCAGTTCGCTTCACAAATATTGGCAGGTGAGACCTTTCTCTCTAGTGGAAGCTAAGCTTCCAAAGAATGAATGAAATTTAATCATAAACTTTTGTTACAGAGGCTCCTAAAAGTGAGATTTTTTTACATAGAAGTAATGCTAGAGAAAGAGCATCACAAGTCAACTGTGAACCTGTAGAAGATGTAGAAGGAATCCTGAGAGAGAATGCTAAAAGAATTACGGAGAAGTTATTATTGAGGCCAAGGTGTGAAAGTGTACAGAAATTAGTTGATCTTGCAAACCAAGAATTAGAAAAATTAAGCCCAGAATTACAGCAGTTCTACAAAGAAAATATTGAAATTACTCCCGAGAAAACTGTTCACCTAGCCACAAGTACAGTGACTCAAAGTGAGGATGGAGTCTGGGATGCTGCGCGTTCTTGCAGGATCACTGGAGCCAAAGTGTATAATGCTTTCACTTACACTCGTAACAAAAATCCAGACTGGGAAAAGAGAATAAAAGATATGTGTAACCCTTCTTTTGATGGCAATGATGCAACAGCATTTGGGCTCCTTCATGAACCCATTGCAAGAGATTGCTATGCAGAGACTAAGAAAGTTAATGTCATTGAAAATGGAATTTTCATTCTACCTGATTTGCCTTGGCTCGGTTTCAGTGCTGATGGCATAGTGGTAGATGACAACTTTGATCCTGTGAAATTATTAGAAATAAAGTGTCCACCTTCAGGAGAAAAATTAAGTGCTGCAGAGCTGCACACTAGTTGTGGTTACTTTGAGAAAAGTAAATCTAGGAAACTTAAAGAGAAACAAAGATACAATGGCCAAGTTAACTTAGGAATGTTCCTACTTGGACTAGAAAAATGTGACTTTATTGTGTACTCAAAGTCTGAGAATAATTTTGTGTTGGATGAAGTCAAGCTAAATGAGAAATTTGCTTTTGAAATGACTGCTCCTCTTGTTGATATTTATTTTAACAAAATATTGCCTTATTTATTTTGTAGAGCTGAAACAGATAATATTTTTGATGGAGATGGAGATATGTAGTAAACATATTGAATTGCAGTAACTTTTTAATTATCAGTTATTTTGATTAAAAATTAACACAAGTTTGTCCAATGTAAAAATGTTCTTTTAGATGAGAAACCTGTAAACAAAAGTCAACTGTTATGCCACTTCCTATGAACAAAATAAAATCATATTCTTATTTGTAAAAAGTTGCTTATTATGCATGATAAACATACCTGTATCTAAAATTTGTCCATAGCCAAAATTGGTGAGCTTAAGTTTACCATGGCAGCACAAACTAAAGCAATATCGTTCATATAGGGGACAAGATATGAGGAAACCTGATCTGTCATTATGGCATAGTCTCGAATCTGCTTGATTGACCTTTCCACATGGACTCGTGCTCTTGCTATTTCAGCTGTCCTGATTGCCTCTGCTTTAGAAAGAGCTTTCTTTTTGGACAAGAAGGGGGGTCTGATCATACGCAAGTTTCTTTCAATGCACTCCTTTTCAATCATGAACCCCTTGTCCACCATCACACCATCTCGAAATTCCAAACTGTCTAAAATTTCAGAATCAACAACAATCCTCTTGTCAGATGCCCTTCCACCGTAAAATTTGCTCAAGAAAATAATCATTCCAGAAGGGGATACACCAACACAAGCCTTCAATGTGTGTCGTCCTTTATACTGAGAGTAAGTCATAATTCTTTCCTTTAGGCATCGAGGCTTTTCTACTGGTATTTCCATGCAGTCCAGTACAATCCTAGTGTAGGAATACCTCCGAAAGCATTTGGGAATATTTCTTCTGGTTTCTTCTAGACTTGGTAATTTCACCAATCCTTTCAAGACTTCTGCTAATACCTGCACTGTGTGTCGAAAATATTTGCTACAAGTTTCATCGGATATCCCAAAAAAGACAGACAGAGATGCATAAGACATATTTAGTCTAAGCTTAGTCAGACATAGGAGCACTCTTTCAGTGTTTGTTAAGTTCATTTTTGAAGACTCAGGTATGATTTGAGTAACACATAGTACAATTTTGTCTAAAAGTTTATAGCTGGTTAAGCCTGTAAAAGTGCAAAGTTTGCTGCCTTCTGGAAGTAGTGTTTTTAGGGAGAATTTTTCAGTTTGGGTGGTCTTTTCTTTGCAAGCTGGAGCAGCTGGAGCATTTTCACCTCCGGTTTCAGGTGGACCTGTAGCTGTAGTATTGTCATCTACCTCCTCATGGGAATTATTATTTTCATTAGTTTCATTAGACAGGTTTGCATCCTCATGCATTGACCTAAATAAAAAATCAAAGGAATAAGTGAAGTGTGAAAACAAGTTTTTATTCAAGCTAAACAAAATGAGAGCAAAAGCACACAAAATAAAATATCACATGTCACAGGCTGAACAAGGCCACTTTAAACAGCAATAACTGCCAATAATAATTGGAAAAATTGATTGAATGCAGCAAAAGCCACACAATTAAATAAAAAATATACACCAGTTCTAATAATATGATTTGAATTGATTCCAATATATGCTTATCATTAATTCATGCTTCACAAATTTGACCAAAAAAAGACCCTGAATATTGTAAGTGGACTGCAAGTTGATTGCTTGAAGACCTCAAGTGAAAAATATTTTTTTAAAAACGAACAAAAATTCTGATAAAAAATGAATACAATAGGGTGAGTCCGTTCAATGATCCAGAATCTTTTTCCTACAGAAAATAAACCTGTCATTTTCAGCTGAAAGTCTGCTGGCTTCTCGGTTCTCCGCTCTCCGCTTCCTAGCTTGTTTTAGCTTCTTCTGAGGTGATGAATCAACAACATCATGCCGGCGAATTGGGAGCTTCTGGGAAGGCACAGCAATGGACTTGAGTCGTTTGACAAGCGAGGGTTTAGCTGAAAATTAAACATCAACCATTAGTCCGGTATCAAAGCCTCTACAAATGTTATATTGTGTCCAATAACATTGGCTTTTCGCAAGCTTTGCATTCAAGGGAAAATAAAAAGAAATAAATTAAAATTACAAGACACTTACCTTGTGGTATGTAGTCAGTGGGTAGAAAGTGAGCATTACAAACTCTGTCATAGTCTGTTATTTTCTTCCCCATTCGCAACACAGTTTTCCATTGAAGTCGGAGCTTTAAATCCTTGGGGAAATGATGGAACCGAACTCCTTCTCCAGAGTAAACATTACATTGAGGCACACAACAATACGTGGTATTACTTAATTTAGCTCTTTTAGGGCCTTCTTGGTCCATGCCGGCTTCGTCGGAGGCCATCTTTCACTTGTATAAACAATCTGCGAGCCTCTTCAACACTCGGAGTTCAGTTATAGACCTTCTTTCTCCCCAAATCGGCATCTAAAACTTTTCCGAAGTTGTGTAAAGGCTGAGAAACCAGTGTTCTCCCTATCCGCCTAGCTGAAGCGGCCCGCAGGCTTCTGACTTTGAGTAGTTCGGCGCGCCGCCACCAGCGGCGCTGGCGCATGAGACGGCCGCGAATTCTGACTGCTGTTGCTGTTGTTTTCGGGGCGCACCCACGCTCGGCGTGTGCTGGCCGCTGCTGTTGCTGTCGGAGCGCACCCAAGCTCAGCGTCGTGCTGACTGCTGCTGCTGTTGCTGTCGGAGCGCAACCACGCTCAGCGTCGTGCTGA